ATTAAGAACTAATAAAGATAATATCATTTATTAAAATTCAAACTAGTAGAAAAAGATAGTGCATAATTTTAATAGTCATAAACAATTAAACTAATAGAAATTGTGCATAGAAAACTGAAAAAATCTAAATAAAATTGAACAAATTAAAAATGCTAAAACATCTTATAAAGTGGAAAGGAGAGAGTATTTCTTTACCAAAATGAAGAAGAAAAAAAAATGTTTAGTTGCATGATGATACTAACTACTCCTTTTTGTTTACCATTTGAATCTGTCTCATTGTTTTTGTGATATGGTATTCCATTTTTAATAAGTTTTTGTAATAACTAAATTTAATAAAATTTAAAATTACTTAGAAACAAAATTGGTGTATTTTGATAAGAATGGGTTATAGCATTTCCACACGCACGATCAGCCGTCCGTTCATTGACTTGAACCTAATCAAATTTGATGATTTTTTATTTGATTTTTATTAGCTTATATAATGTAATGAGTCATTAGTTTAAGTGATTACAATTTTGGGTTTTGATTAGTGCATAAATTAATTACTAATTATATCAACAAAAACTGTCTTTTCAACAACCGAGTCTCTCATTCTCGTTTCTCCCCTTCACATCATCTCTCATTTTCGTTCCCTTCAAAACATATTAGACCTATATTTTAATAAAATCTTGTTCCCTCACCATTTTTGTTCACTCAAATATCGTATAGATGGAACTAATTTAAAGTTGGTAGACTATTTATTAATAACACGAACATAATGTTTTTTAATAGAAGTTTTTTAATAACATGATCGAGCGAATGGTTAAGCATAATACGAATCATATAGCCGTTTGAGTAGCCCTGTGGATAAAACCCGATCAGAAACCGTCGACCCGATCCAACCTAATTTTTTCCTGTTTTGATTCGACCCAATTTGAGATTTGGTTTTATTAGGAGAGATTGAGATTTGGGTTCCCTAACTGAATCCGATCCGACCCGATAACCGTTTTTCTGTTCGGTTAATTTCGGATTTTGGTGTAGCTCTAAAAGCCCGAATAACTGACTATCCTGAAAACCCGACCCAAACCGATCCGATAACCCTCTCAGGGCTACTTTTGAGATTCAAATGGTAATATTTCTTATTTATATATTTCATGTTCCAAAAACATTGATATAAACAAAAATTGCTATTTTAATTTGCTACATATAAGTTTGATTTGAATTGGTCGATCAGTGTATTCTCCAAATATTTAGGTTACACAGCAAATATGAAATATTAGAAAACTCCACGACTTAGGTGTTGATTGGTTCTCCCGCTCTCACCCGCCTAGCGGTTGCTAGCGGGCGTTTGCGATTGTTAGCGTTTGGTACCAATCGTAAAAAACGCCTAGAAACGCTTCGGAACGCTCGAAATCGCTGGATTTCAAAAGCTTCTTCCCGCAAGCGTTTGCGGTTGCGAGTGGCTGCGATTGGTTTAAAAAAGGAAAGTATCTAAAAATGGAAAATCTGTAAACTAATATATATATATATATATATATACATATTATATTCATATTAATATTAAAACAAAAATCATTCTCTAAATTTACTTTTCCAATATTATTTATTATTTATTTTTCACTATAAAAATTATTTGTTTAGCATTTGAATATTTATTTAGTATTTCTATTTAGTAGTTATTTATGTTTTTTTTATTATTTATCTCCCGTAAACACACTCATTTTCAAACGTTAAACCAGTCGTTCAAAACGCTCAATAACGCTAACAACTGCAATCGCCCGCTTCCGCAAACTCTCGCAGCCGCAACCGCAATCGCTGCGTTTAAACCAGTCAGGCGTTTAACAACCACACACTTATGAATTGATCACAACACGAGCAGCCTTTGTCAACATGTCTATTGAAGTATGACTTCTCAAGATCTTTTGAAGCAATTACTTTTTATCATTCTAAGTTGATGTGATATGATATAATTATATTTTTTAGTAATTATGAATTCTCAAGATCTTGCATAAAACTGTAACCATATCATTACATTTGTTGTCTTTTTCACAAAATATACTCACTCACAACTAGATAGAATTATGATATTCTATAATATTAAAACCCAACAAATTTTAATACCCCCAAAAGTGTTAACCAACAATATAAGTTGTTAATATATTTATTTTGAGAATTAGTTTTTGTCAAGTCTTTTGAGAGTATTATTTCAACTTATTTGCGAACCGCTTTTTTCATATCCGCAAAAAAATATATTAACCGCCTTTTAAAATGTGAGCCAATCATATTTAGTGTAACTACTAACTAGTAAGAGATTTCCATTTATATTCTTATTGTATACTTGCTAAGACAAATCCTCAAATGCAAATGATATACTGTACATCAATTCTAAATTAAACATATGTATAAGCCCATGGTTTTGGGATTGATACATCACACTGATAATTTCTCCTAGCCAGCTATTTCTAATTTCTTACATTCAAAATACTATACTCACTTATAATATCTTTACAACTTGATAGAGATATAATATTCACTTATGATTTGAAACCTTTAAAATTTTAGAAGGTTTAAATATTCCTTGTTATAAGATTAGTCTTATTAATTTTTCATCTTTTTTCAATTTCGATTATGTTGTTTTGCAACTTTTTACTTTATAACCATTTCCTCCATTACCACTAAAAATTAGTTTTACCCCTTTTTAAAAACTTGAACCAATCATATATATCTAGTGTAACTAGTAAGAGATTTGTTTTCTTATTGCAGACTTGCTAACCTCAAATTCATAGGGTATTCTATACACCAATTATAAATTAAACATATGTATAAGTCCATGATTTTGGGATTGATACATCACAATGATATATTCTCCTAGTTACAATTCTTTTTCCTTTCATTCATCATTTTCTTGATTTGCCCTCCATCCAATTCAAAATAGATGCCGTTTAAGATTTTGATGCATATTAGAAAAACAACTAAACTTTCATTTTTCTCACTCTAATATACTGAATTATTTTTGCATTGAAAAATACATTAAATAAAAAGGGTGAAAATATAAAAAGATGGCTGATTTGAAAGAAAAAAATTAATTAAGAACTAAAAAGACAGGAAATTTGAAACGAAAGAATTATAAAATCATTGATACAATTGAAAATAGGTTTTACATCTTTCCTTGCGAATTTTTTATACTGTTCTTTTTATTTAATACTCCATCTATTTCATATTAAGTGTCATTTTGACGCTTTTTACATAAATGATAACAAAACATATTCGAGTTTGTAGAAGTGATATAGGGTAGTTCAGATTTCTCTTGTACCCTAATTTAAATTGAGTCGATAGTTTTCAATGATTATGAAGTTAAACTAGGAAATTTATGTTAAATTTTACATTAATAATCTAAAACAACACTTATTTTGAAACGTAAAAATAGTGGTAGTGAAAAGACCCGACCCGTTTTTTTTTTTTTTAATTCATTAATTAATAGTCCCATACATACTAATTAACCTAACCGAATTAACCCAACAATAAATCATCATGCACAGCGGAAACATATTAAACCAACATCAATTAATCATAATATTAATTAATCAATCATTCAATAACCACAATTTACACCAGCAACTTAGCATGCCTCTAAACCAGGTTCCAACAACAATTAACATATTCATAAACATAACAACCGAGACCCTAGATCATCCTCCTCTCCTCGCCATGATTACACGGATCACAATTTACCTGCACCACAAACACAATGAGATGCGTGAGTATTATCACAAATACTCAGTGAGAGCGATCCTCCCATCTACTGGGCTATACACACAAGCACTTAAGATCACATACATACAACAACAATGTCACAAACAGCCAAAACAGGCAATCAAAAACACAACTATCGCTCACAGAAAACTGGTGTCGGTCGACACTACCAAATACAGGTGTCGGTCGACACCAAATGCTGGTGTCGATCGACACCACCAAACTGCACTGCGATCGACCGAATGGTGACGATCGACACCCTCCTGGTGTCGGTCGACACCCACCCCCTGAAACGCATCCAACGACGATCTTAGCCACTAAAGAATCCCTATAGCACCCACACATCACCTCCCACGACGACACAACCCAATAACAGTCACATAAGGCCACACAAACACCAGAAAACATCACAAACACAAAGGATTCAATTCGCAAATCACATAAACACAAATCATGCAATCTTAACGCTTAGATAAGCCATAGTCACGCACTCACCTTGATATGGATTGAAAGAAGGACAAAACAAAGAGGAACATAAGAACAAGCCCTTCCTTGGACCACCAGCCACGAATCCAACCCTCTCCTTGCTAGAACTAACCAAAACTAGCCACAGAAACCTCCAGAAACCCTCACAAGCCTCTCCTTAAGCTTTAGGAACAACCAACCCTCAACCCTCTCTCTCTCTTTTGTTTTTAAGAAGCGACAAAAGCCAAAAGTGAGAAAGAAAGGCTGCTTCTACGAGTTAAAGTCGTGCCTAGGGTTTCTCCAATCAATTCCAATTAAACCAACAGTTTAAATGATAAACCGTCTAACCTAATTTTGTTGGTGTCGATCGACACCCAACACTGGTGTCGGTCGACACCACCAAAATTTCAGACACGGGCGTTACAGGTAGAATGACAGTTTTTGTGAAACGGATGGAGTATATATACATATTAGATATATTGAATTACCAATGACTATGTACATATTTTAACTCATCCTTAACATACATAGAGAAAGACAATAAAGCTTTCTTTAAGCTCAATAATTAGCTGTTCATATCTATTGGTATCAAGACCTGGTTACAAAGAAAAAAAAAATATGTATATACTTTATTCCAAAGATGGTTATAATGTTTAATTGGTTGACATATTAAATATTAAATATATCCATTACTTCTCATGATCCTATATATAATACACACATCAAACTCTTCTCAATCATTCCTTCAACTCTCACATTACTTATCGGATTTTAATTAAGATAAAGTGATTTAGTTCTCAAAAATGGAAGCCATGGGAGAATGGAGCACTGGCCTAGGTGGAATGTATACAGAAGAAGCTGACTTCATGAATCAGCTCCTTGCCTCCTATGAACAACCTTGTGGCGGTTCATCTTCAGAGACAACGGCCACACTCTCGGCCTACCACCACGGCCAAGGTTCTCACTGGCCTAGCAGCTTTTGCTTCTCCCAAGAGAGCAGTAGCTATAGTGGTTACTGCACGGTCGTGCCACAAGGAGAAGATGACAATAATAGGATGGAGGACGCCACGATCAACACGAACGTGTACCTAGTTGGCGAAGAGACTAGTGAATGTGACGTGGCTGAATACTATGGTAAGCCTTTGGATACTGTCCAAGAAAACCATGGCCATCATAGTATGGTACAGCCTGAGGACTCCTTGACAACGACCACTGATGAGAAACTGAGTTCAAAGAAGAGGATGCGTCCCATATCAACTGATGTAAGTTTTAGATACATTTTATGTTAACTCCGAATAATGAATTTTTTCAATGTAAAAGACAATTAGCAATGCAAGAAAACGTAGCAAATTCCGACGAAATATATGGTTGGAAAATTTTAAATCATATTCCGACCAAATTACGACGAATTTCCAAGAGACATAAAATATTTGTCGTAATTTTGTCGGAAACTTTTTAAAGTTTCCGAAAAAGATTAGTCAGAAATTCATAGGAAATATTCGTCGGAAATATAAACTTCACGCGAGGAATCTTGTAGTAAAAAGTTCAGAAAATATTTGTCGACAATTCGTCGGAACTGATGAGAAGTACATGTGTCGTCTTTTTTGTTCTTTCGACCAAATCTCGACTATATATCCTTGGTCGGAAAATGCTATGTTTTCTTGTAGTATAGCGGTATAGCCATAATTCTAAATATATTCTTTGCTTCTTGTAACCACATCAGAAGAACAAGAGAGCCAACAAGGCGCGAAGGAGCCAAAAAGGCGTCGAGATGAGTGGCGACAATGAAAATAGCGGTGAAGAAGAATATACAGAGAAGGCTAGAGGCAAGCGTAAGGCCAAACTTAAGCTACCAAAGACTTGTTGTTCGGATGATGACGAGTCAAATGGTATAGACACTTCTTTCTCTAAAGAAGATGGCGAGGACTCAAAGGCTCTCAACCTCAACGGCAAGACTAGAGCCAGCCGCGGCGCTGCCACAGATCCTCAAAGCCTTTACGCAAGGGTAACTTAAACATACTTTCTCAATATATTAAGGCTTATATTTTTTTTCCGAACACATTTATGTAAAACTAAAACTATGAAATGCTGAAAAATTAAAACAAAGTTTGTCTCTATGATGGTTCAGAAAAGAAGAGAAAGGATCAACGAGAGGCTAAGGATTTTGCAAAACCTAGTCCCTAATGGAACAAAGGTAATGTTTTAAACTCATGCAAACGAAATTACTACGTGACCACAACAACTATATATATACTCCACATTCTTGTTTTCTTTACTTAGAATGGTTAAATATGTAACATAGGTCGATATTAGCACAATGTTGGAAGAAGCAGTACAATATGTCAAATTTCTCCAGCTACAAATTAAGGTACGTCATGTTATCTATGATTGTGAAGTCTCATAATATAAACTAATTAATTAAAGAAAACTAAAGTATTTGTTTGTAATTAATGAATTAATTATTGTTATATACAGTTATTGAGCTCTGATGATCTATGGATGTATGCTCCCATTGCTTACAATGGTATGGACATTGGCCTTGACCTAAAACTCAATGCACTAACCAGATGATTCAAGAGACACCCTTCGGATTTTTTATTTTAATTCTAATTCTTTTTTTTTCTATAAATAAATAATCTAATAAGAGAGACATAGTCACATTTGACGTTTTATGTATATACTCCAATGTTTTTTAATTTTGCATGTCGAGTTATGTCCAACATTTTCTTTTATTCTTGAGCATATATTAATTGGTGTATAAGTATAACGACATGTTTTTTGATAATGGATTCGTTTATTTTATCTCTTTATGTTTGATTAATTGATTCGTTGATGTCATACACATTAATGATGTAATCGGAATTTTATACTTGAAAGCGCATAATCTCTTTTGGATTTTATGCTTTCTTTTTTTTTTTTTTGGATTTTATGCTTAATTAAGCGGAAGTTTAATACTCGTGTAGTTCAATTATTTTATTGAGGGAACTTCAAAATTAAATAACGGTAAGTATTACATAACCATTACAATTAAATAAATTTACGTTTTCTCTTTCAATGGTACCTTCGATACATGTAGTTGTGAACTAGAAAAAGAGACAGAAGGGTCAGTTATTTTCAATGATTATAGAACAGTGCAAAAACTTTGCATCATAATGAATTTGGTTGCTTAATTAACCCTGACTCTTTCAAAATTCTTGCTACTTCATGTAAGTTGAATGTGCCATCTTCATGTAAGTTGAATGTGCCATCTTCATTCATCTCATAGACATATATAAGATTTGCAAAAACTTTGCATCATAATAAATTTGGTTGCTTAATTATCCCTGAATCTTTCAAAATTCTTGCTACTTCATGTAAGTTGAATGTGCCATCTTCATTCATCTCATAGACATATATAAGATTTGATTTAGACATATGTATAGATAAACAAGGAAAATTCTACTAACCAATATGATAAATCACACCTAGTCATAGAAGCTGCGCGTAAACAATTATCATATGCATTTACTAACATTTTTTCATAAATATCTTAAATTACCAACAAAGAAAATAACAATTAAGTGTATAAAGTTTATACTAGCCTTGCACAAAAATAACACAGATAATATTCAGACTAGTCATGATTTAGTATATATATGTATATCAAACAAGAAACACTATCAATAATTACTGCAAGCAATTTTGATAAGTACATTCTCAAACCATCAAATAAACTAGAAAAGTATAATAAATATAACATCTAAACCTTACACAACAATCTGGAACCATTAAAATGAATCAATGCAAGTTTGAACTAATTATTTAAGACGATCATATGTCAAACTAAAGATAATTTATCCATAATCTATACTAAGTATAAAAATGAAACGTCATGCATAAATGAAAACTATCATTTGTGCTTCTATTATGAAATGAACACACATAATCCTGTACTACTTACTACTATCATTTGTGCTTCCTATAGCCATCACTGGCACATTAGTGTTTAGGATTTAAGCTTTAGTTTTGAATGTGAAAATTTTACTTTCAAACTAATAATGCTATTTTGGAAAAATCCACTTTAGTGGTAATTATAAGAATTACCCAATATATATTTTGTGGTAGTAGAAATTCTCATAAATACCATTATCTTAGAAAAATTAACTTACGGTGGTATTTTTAGGAAAAAATTTAAAATATGGTATTTTGAGGAAATTTTCTACATACATACACGTATTTATTTAATACGTTTAAAAATTTAGTGAAATCTGACTATAGTGTTGTTTTCCAACATTTCACTAATTTATTATTGAGAAATTCCTACTAATAACCTTTTTATGATACTTTTTTGCAAAACTACCCTCTTTTTTGCCATTTTCATTTTTGCCCTCTATTTAATTTTAATGGTCAATTTACCCTTAGTTGAAAGAACATTCATTCCTTTTGGGAAGGAATATTCCTTCCAAAAAATTTTCCACCAAAAAATTTTCCACCAAAAACTTTCCGCCAAAATTTTCCAACAAAAATTTTTCCACCAAAAACAATTCTGCAAAAAAAAGATTTTACAAAATTTTTTTTAAGGGTTTACAAGGATTTTTAAATGGTATTTTAAAATTTTTACAAGGGTTTTAAAAGGGATTTACAAGAGTTTTTAAATGGTTTTTAAAATATTTGTAATAGTTTTTAAAGTGTTATAGAAGCTTACAAAGGTTTTTGAATGGTTTTTAAAGGATTTACAATGGTTTTTAAAAGTTCTTATAAGTTTATAACAGTTCTAAAAGGATTTACAAGGATTTTTAAAAGATTTTCAAATGGTCTTTAAAAATTTACAAGGATTTTTAAAGGTTTTTAAAAAGGTTTTACAAGTATTTAAAGGATTTACAAGGGTTTTAAAGTTTACATAGATTTTAAAGGGTTTACATAGGTTTTTAAAGGTATTACAAGGACTCAGTGGCGGAGCTAGCAAATCAGTTTATAAGGGTCAAATTTTTTTATAAAGGTTAATTATGTTATTAAAAAAAAATTATAGGGGTCAATTGTGTTATTTTACAAGGGTCAGTTTGATATTTTTCCTAAAAATTCATCTAATTTGAAAAATTCAACAGGGCCAAATGACCCCTATGGTCCTTATATACCTCCGCCCCTGCAAGGACTTTTAAATGATTTTTTTAAAGGATTTAGAAGGGTTTTTAAAGAGTTTTAGAAGGTTAGAAAAAAATTTATTAAATGATTTATCACGGTAATAAGGGGTTTATAGGGATTTACAAGTGTTTATAAATGTTATAAAATGATTTACAAAAGTTTTAAAAGGTTTACTAAAGTTTTGAAAGATTTTAAATGATTTTTAAAAGATTTACAAGGATTTTTTAAGGGTTTTAAATATATTTACAAGGTTTTTTAAAAGGCTTTTTAAGAAATTGCAGAAAAACATTTTGGCGGGAAAATATTTGTCGGAATTTTTTGGAGGGAAAATTTTTGTCGAAAATTTTTGACGATAAAATTTGGCGGGAAATATTTTGGAAGGAATATTCTTTTTGTTGGAAAGAATATTCATTTTTTCATCATGAGTTATATACTAAAGGAGGGTAATATACTTTGAGAAGCTTGTAATGTGTAAAAAATCTTTTGGAACCATAGCGGATTCGACTTTGAAGACGGGATTTGTAAAACCCTCGACAAAAAGATATAACCGACTCACGTAAATAACGCATGGGGAACATCCTAGTTCAGTAGATCAGTTCAGTCAGTAATGTTTACAAAATGGAACTAAAATAAAACAAGAAAAATAAAAATAGGGATTCCATATGTGTTACATTATCATATGAACTTAGTTCTTTTCGAAGCTTTAGAATGAATGTAAGTTTTTGTTTGTCAAATTAATAATAATAATAATAACACAATCATTCTTTACCCAAGTCTAAAGACAACTCTAATTAATATGCATTAGCTTCCATTACCATCAATTAAGGCTTAACCTTGATTTTCACTCATATTTTTTATCATATACAAAGTCATAACAAGAAGATTTAAAATACAACAACAAGAAAAAGATAAATAAATAAAAAAGGAAACAAGAGCAATGAGATTTATATTTATTTTTCAAACTCGTGATTCCATAAAAACAGCCATGGAATTGCTTAATTTTATACTTTGGCTTGTTAAATAGAACTATGACCGTGGAACAACAAAAGTGTTGTGTATGTAAAGTATGTTATGCTTGAAGATAACCCTTCTTTTCTAAGTATCCAACGACTACTTCAGCCATTTCGATCGGAGAAGTTCCTGATCCTTCGCGTCCTAGAGAAATCTTCACATGACATAAGAAAGAAAAAAACAAGAACACAAGGTAAGAGATGAGAATGACGCGGAAAAAGCTCGGGATCTTGATAAAGAACCGAATCAATGTTTTGTTCTTGCAGCATCCCATTGTGTCTACAATATTATTGACATTTACCTCGCAGTTCAATGGTGGCTCGTAAGGGTCATCGATCCCCGTAAAACCTGAACAAACATATCAATTGGGGACTTCATTTAAGGCAAAAACAGGTCAGACGAATACCAACTACACTTCAGGAGGTACCTTTAATCTTTCCCGCACGAGCTAGCTTGTAAAGACCCTTGGGATCCCTCGCTTCGCAAACTTCAAGCGATACATCCATGAACACCTGTTTAATCAAAACCAATGTTACTAAACATTGGAAAACTTGAATACAATAGAGAGAAACTACGAAACCTGCACTTGTTAATCCATACCTCAACAAAATCTCCCTCGGGGAGTAACTTTCGACAAGCGTCCCTGTCTGTTCTGTAAGGAGATATTAAACTCGCAATGCATATGATTCCAGTATCCGCAAAGAGCTTAGCAACCTCTCCTAATCAAAAGCAAGTAACAACAACAGAAACGTTAAAAACAAGAACAAGTATTGCTGTATTGGTGTAAGGATCTAAGTTATTGAAGCTCACCGACTCTACGAATGTTCTCTGCACGATCCTCAGCTTTAAAGCTAAGATCACGGTTTAAGCCATGCCTAACATTATCCCCATCAAGAATATAACATAGCTTCCCCTTTTGGTACAACATTTGGTTCAAAGCACAAGCCAAAGTACTCTTCCCTAAACAATTTCAAAACCATTAAACATTATGCTTCCACACCAAACATGAAGCTGTTTCTAAAGATCATTGCTGTCACAAACCTGAACCACTAAGACCGGTGACCCAAATCACACATCCTTTCTGATCAAGCAATCTTTGTCGATCAACTTTCTCAACAGGACACTCATGCCACTTTATGTTCGTTGAGTTCCCAACCGTAGACAATGGACCTTGTTTTTTCCCTAATTAGACAAAACCAAACCATCAAATTCAATCTCTGCCCAGTTTAAAACACATGAAGGAGAAGAAACCAAAAACTGAATCTTTTTTCACAAATCAAACCTAAAAATCGGATTTTTGATCATATCTTACAATGGTGATAAGTGTAACCAATAAAAATTGAATCTTTTTACCAAATCAAAGCTAAAAATTGAATCTTTTTTAGCAAATCAAAGCTAAAAATCGGATTTTTTCTATCTGGGCAAACGAATCACAATCATATGAAACTCACCATTAATGGATTTGAGCTCAGGGAAAGACCCATTTGTGTTATTATTATGACTCAAAGTTTGAGATCCATCCATAGAAACACAAGAACGAACAGATCTTGAATTACAACAACTCAATGAATTGATATCAGAAACCCCTTTTGGAGAAATAATCGAAAGCCCTAGAAACGATTTAGCTCCGGCGGCAATCATAATTTCACGGTGATCGGTGGAGGAAAAAAAGAAGAAAGAAAAAAAGAAAAAACAGACAGAACAGAACAGAGAATCTAAATTTGTGTTGTGTCTGAATGTTTTGTTAATTAAGGAACGAGGAGAAATGTGACCGTTAATAAAAAGAGGAGAGATTGGAAGAGTTTTTTTTTTGTAGGTAGGTGAACATGAATTGTTGTTGGCCACGTTTTTTTTTTATAGAACCATCTTTATTTTTTTTTTTGTCGACATAGAACCATCTTTATTGTTTTTGTTGTTTGTGCATAGTTAGATATGTATGTTGCATTGATTTGCATCCACATTCTAATTTCAACGTTTTAATGCAAACTTATTCGACCACCAATATGTGAGAGAGCTGTGGTAGTGTTAAGAGTTTTAGTGTCGGTCTTTAGAGATTAGAGAAATGGTTCTATTATAGTCAATGTGAGTTGTTGTTGTTGTTTTACCAGATGAGTCAAGGTATCATCATCAGTCATCAGTCATCAGTCATCAGAATGAGACTATGAGAGTTAAACCCCAATATCTGCAAGGGCGGTCGAGGTGGGCGTAGCGTCTAACAAGAAAATCGGAATTAAACGAAAATTAATCGGGGACTAATTTTAGAGTTATTTTTTATTAAATAGATAAAAATAATGAATATATGATATTAATTATATGGATAATTCGGCATTTGGAAATGAAAAAACACAATATAACATGTAAAGCTATAATATTAATTTCCAAATTGAAGTAAATAAACATATTTTTTAAAGCTAGATTTATAATTTTCATTAAAATTTTAAACATAAATTATTGTAAAACATCACAAATTCTCAATATAAATGTTTAATAACCGACAAAAAAGAAAATTTTGAACATTACACGGGAGCGGATAGAGTGGACCTAGCGATTACACGGGATGTTTAAAACATGGGTGAAACTAATAATGTATGTTATTTTGAGGGAATTAAGAAACGATGACGTTTTAGTGGTTTGGTTAAAGCTAAATGTACTTAACGTTGATTTGCATCCAGGTTCTTAAAGCTTAGAGATGGTGTGAAGAGTGGAGAAGTGGTTCAATAGTCAATTTGAGGAGATTCCTACCACTTACTAGACAAGTCAAGTCAAACGTGTCAAACGTGTCAAACTATTGGTTTTGTTCTTTTTGAATACAAATTTGTAATTTGATGTATCTTTAGAGGGTGTAACTTATAGAATCTATTCTTAAACATCTACAATGTACAGTACAATACAAAAGACAAGTAAAACAAATGGAAAACTAAACGTCAACAACAAAAGGAAATAAGTTAAAACTTGAAAATTTAGTTGATGATGATCCCAGTTGAGATGTCGCAATATAGGGAATTATGGTTCATTAGAGATTTGAAAGCCCTCATCTTTTTTTTACGGAGATTATTATACTTTACTTGTGTTTAGTAGTAGTATTATAGAGAGCATTGTGTTCACAATTGTCCTACTTGAAGCAAAAGCGAGGATTGTTGTTCAAGACTATCGCTGTATAATTTATATGAACACATTAATAAATTTTAATAAATTGACCGGTGGTCGAATCCGGTTAGCCCAATAACCCGGTAAACCGGAAGGTAGTCCGATTCGTAATTCGGTTTGGGTTTAAAAGTATTGATTAAACTAATTCAAATCAATATAATCATCAGTTTAAAAATATATATATATATATATATATATACAAATATTAAGGCTTTCTAATGAATGAAATGATAAATTGTTTTCGAGAGCAACTCTTATATTTAAGGAGAACTTTTTGATAAATACCGATTTTGGTGTACCCATTTTCAAAACTACTGCTTTCTTCTACCCATATTTAGAAGTATCACTTTGAACAAATATAATGTTATAAGGTTTATAAATTACTTCATGACAGTAACTACTACTCAAATACTCGATCCATATATTTATAAGGTTTTATAAAAATTTTAAAAGGTTTTAAAAGGATATATGGTATTTATAAATATATATATATATATATATATATATATATATATATTTACACACATGGTAAAGTATTTGTTAAATATCTTTTTTTTTTTTAAGTTTACACACAAGAAAATCTAAAGTGATACATAGCTCCCACACTACAAGAAGGGCAAAATGCTTTTCAGCAAAAGAATTGTACGAAAAATTCAGCTTTACCAAATTCTATTGTATTGAACAAACATCTTCATTCTTTTGTTATTAATTGATTGTAAAATCACAATTATAGCAAATGAATCTTCACACCTTATTAATTGATTGTAAGATCACAATCACATTCAAACCAACAACAACAATTTTGTATCTCTATTGGACAACGTAAAATGTGAAATTGGACAACATGAACTTTAAAAACTATTCACTCTCTCTTGTCTCTAGTTCTAAGAAGCTACATCAGAGTTATTCCTATTAAAAAAGTCCCATGGACACAAGTGAACGAAGTCACTAGAACCTCATTTGTATGCAAAATACACTGTTTGGTAAAAAAGTTACAAAGATACAGAGGCGAAAAACCACCGGCGTTAAGGGCCACATCAATCAAAAGAGCGTGTCACCTTGGGTCCTTACCCGGGAATAAATAGATTCTCTCAGGCGCGTTCATCATTCACGTGGTTTGGGATCTCGGGTTGGCTGTCAAGTGGCATGTACTGTGCCATTATGGCTCTGATCTCTGAGTCCATGTATTGCTGTAAAATCAGGGACATAGAAAGGTTAGAACAGTTTCCCCAAGCAATTGATATGGCAATCGTGTTAAGGTCCAACGGCGAAATATGAGGTTACAGTAGAACAGCAAAAACAGATTTATCTTTGCTTTTAACACAAACAGCAGATAAAAGAGCGTAAACGATGAAGTAAATAAGCTTACCCGTAACCTATATTTGTAAACGAGATACGCCCCACCAGCTGCAAGTCCTAATGATAACATTATAAGCCAGACGGCCGCCCACGCTGATTTCACTTGTGCACCTGTCTTGCCTAAATTTCGACAAATCAAACCGTTACCAATTGGAAAACAGATGGGAGAAACGCTATTTTATGCTTAATCAATCTTTAGACTTAAGTTCAAGAAAACTCACTGATGCAAGTGTCATGATCTCTGATGTAGAGAAGGCCTCCGCTACAAGAGCACTCATAGCTTCCCCAGGTGTTCTTGCAACTACATTCCGGGCACTGACAAGCTTTCTTCTCTTTGCACTCATTAATGTCTGGTGAAGGAAGCACGGAAATCCTTAACTAGATGATTAGCAGTAGCACAAAGAAGTAAAGTTACCCAAGTTTAACAGAGGGTCTAACCTTCACACTTCTTAATACCATCTCCTTTGAATCCTGGAGGACACTGGCACTTAACAATGTCCTTGTCCTGAAGGCATTACAAGTTGAAACATAAGTCTCTTATTACACGGTGAAAATATGCTTAAAGGTGAAGCAAAGTGAAGAATAAACACTAACAACACAAGCAGAGAACGCATGGCCATCTCTCTCTTCATGCCAACAACCTCCATTGTTGATTGTGCATCTCCCGGGCCCGCTTGCTGCAATGCAAACACCAATTAGGTATGAAATGGACAAAAAAAAAAACATTACACAAGCACCAAAAAAGGCATAAAACACCACATCGCCCATCTCTGATAGCTGATGGGATAAATGGAATAAAAAAGTTTAAAGTTTTACCAGGAATATTGAGCTATTTAAAATTCTAAGAGATTATACTACAAAAATTTCTTTACAATTCACTATAACTAAGAGATATACAGAGCTGCTAAAAGAAGATCACTAAATGTCTCTGTGCAAGTAACTAGACTATTATGTTGCATTGTTGCCATATTCAGAATGCTACTAAATTATACAAGTCTGATAAAATTATAAGAACTAGTCAAAATATGACATTGAACACTCACGTTCACAGTGGCTGTAACCATCCCCTTTGAATCGCACACCATCAACTGTAGGACACTCACATACCCTTCCGCGAAATGTATCCTGCATATTAAACAGATTAATAAAGATATCTCAGAAATTATTCAAAGCAATTTCACATCTACCTTGCAAGCAGTTATGTTGGCTGATTTATCTTGCCAACAACCGCCATTGTTATCTAAGCACTCGTTTGACTCCACCTCTGCAATTGTAACAGAAGATGCAAGTTTCAGTTTTCACAATAAGTGTTAGAAGGTGTGATCATTATTATAGTTCACAATACATTCCAAACATTTATTTGATGTCGAGCATGGGTCATCAAAACTCAACTTTATAATATTAACAGACAAATTCTAGTCAAAAAGTAGAGGTGTGTATTTAAGCATTGGGATGGATAATTAGTATATGTAAAAATGATAGCTACTCCCAAGGATAGTTAGGATCAGGTGGTTCGGGTATGGTTCCGGTTCAGGTGAGTATGAGTACAATCAGAAATGGCTACGAATAGCCAAGACCAACAATAAGTACCTGTGCTGAGACATATAGCTGGTTCAGTAGTCTCCTCAAAACCAGAGCATAAAGCCTTGAGTACTGCACTCCTTTCCAACTTGCCTGCAAGGGAACAATTATATAATAAGCTAAACTACATGAATTGATGTCTTAAGTTATACACTGCAAGACAAACCTCGGTACTGTCTGTTGTTGACAACCAAGGTAGGCAATATGGTAACATCACCCCTTGAACCCTTGCCAACCTACATAATAAAATATGTAAATCTTAAACGGGTTCCTAAAAAACATAAAATTGCCATGCCCGCAGAATATTCAGACGTAAGAGAGGCATAAATAATTTACTTGAGCATCTTGTTCTTCCTTTAGAACCGGATTGTCCATGTCAGCATCAGGATCTCCCATACACTTGTCAAGTTTTTTACTATCAATTCCTGTACAGACATAGAAAATAATTGAACTGAACCATCATAATTTTCCCGACTTGCACGCAGTATTCTCTCGTAACAAAAGGAAAAAGGGTTTACCAAGGGATTTGATAACAGAATCAGCACAATCTTTGTTATATTTCTTCTCCTTCATGGGACATCTGATCTGGAAATCAGTGACATAATCCCACCAGACCCAGGGTTTCCCCGTTTCATTCGCCACCTTGTAAACACAAAGCTGTCTCAAATTTTCAACAACAACGTCTTTTCCATCGTATCCTGAGCTGAAGTCCTGTTCTGGATCAGGAGCGCAGTATCTTCCTTTGTTGATACACTGAGACTTGCACTGACGGCTCAAAGTGAAAGCATGAGGGCAGTACCAGGTGATGTAGTGAGGTCTAAACTGTGTGAAACCGCCTTTCTCGAGAATTTGAGCCGCACCCTTGAAATCTTTTACAAATTCCATCAACATGTCGCACTTTACCCCACATTCATCATTGCTGTTGGTCCACAATTCATACTCAACACGGTCATCAGGGTGCGGAACAGCTTCTCTCCAGTCAAGATTCAAGTTGACCATATCCCCTCCACTAATCGCTTTCTTAAGCTTTTCACCAAAACCTTTGGTAACAAGAGCAGAAGGTATGGTGATATTCTCAATGTATTTTGCAGACGAAACATCCTCTTCAGGTGTATCCATGGTAATCAAAGGTTCATCAACATTATCTGCCACAAGAACAGCAGAAGCACCCGCTTTCTGTGCATTCCAGACTTTCAAAGCAAAAAAACAATCTACAACAACAAAATGTAACCTCCCACCATTAGGCTAAGTAAGCTACATATAATTCATTGATTATGCAGAACAGTAAAGTAAGAAAAAACCATCACACCCTAAAGACTAAAATCTCTTATCTAATCTCGAGTATACTAAATCCAAGCTAACAACATTATATAGAATGGCCTAAATCTAACATCAGTTATAAGATCTTCAATGACACAACCAGAAGTTAAATATAGATAAGTGACTCCATTAATAGCAAAACAAACAAAATCCTAATAAAACACCAAACGTATACCAAAAAAGGAAACATACACCATTTTCAGCTAAGTAAGTGCATATACGATTATGCAGAACAGTAAAGGTGATACAAGTTCTACACAACGAACCAATTAAGAAGAACCTGAAAACTAAAATCTCTACTGAAGAGAACACTTAACCTCAGGGATTCAACTGAAACTTTAATTACACAGAAGACAACCAAATCTCTCAAATTGAATTGTAAAATCCTCAAACGTAAATTTCAAATTAATCAATCGGAAACTGCAATGTTATAGTAAGAGATTCCGCAAGAACCCTAAGAGGAGACATTCAAATTCCAAATGTGAAATTGAGTAACGAGATTAAAGTTCCTACCTCCACGATCAACCAAGAGAAAAATAGGCAAAGCACCAGGCTGAGACTTAAACGAAATCGAGAAATCGCTAAACTCTTTACACGATTTCTGATTCTCTTTAGGGTAAACCACCGTACCAGCCATACTTCCACCGTACTGAGGAATCCCGAAGTTACCAATCGCACTATCGTGAGTTCCTTTTATACTCTCCGGCGAAGTCACAGATAAACTATTCTTCTCCACCACGAATCGTGCTTCACTCAAGAGGGAGAGAAGCAGGTATGGGAGAAAACACAGGAGCTGCTTCTTCATCATCTTTGAGATCTCCGACTCCAAAAACACAAATTCAAAGGAGTATAAGAACACGATTGATGATGATGATGATGATGATGATGATGATGATGATGATGATGTGAGTTTTGAAATTCTCGACTTGACGACGAGTGTTTTCCCGAGAAACAGAGAGAAAATAATAAGAATCGGGTTTGGGTGGTTTGGTTCAACGGTTCGGGTGCGCGATTGGGAAAAGACTGACTATACGACATGTTAAGTCAAACACAGACGACCAAACAAATCTTTATTTTTATACCGGGAAAAAAACTTAAAAATACCTCGTTAGTTTTTAATTTGGATGTCTTAGAAAATTTGTTAAGAGCATTTTAGAAGGATAAATGAGAAGATGTTTTTTTAAAGATTTTTAGTTATATTAATAATGCAAGAGGTTAAGTTAAGAACCAAAATTATAGAGTTGATTATTGGTTGAACTTTTAGAATTTTAAAAATTAAATAATATCATAATGTAAAACATATTAAAAAATTTTAAAACTAAATAAATAACTTTTAAATTGAAAAATTTTAAAAATAAACATAAAATTGATTTGAAAATAAAAAGAAACAGAAAATACAATTCAAAACTATTAATAACAAAAAAAAAATGAAGATAAAAATGAGAAACATAAAAAGATACAAACATATTAATTAAAATGAGAAACATAAAAAGATACAAACATATTAATTAAAGCAGACAGACATATTAATCAAAGCACCAAAACAATGAAGATAACATGAGAAACATAAAAAGAAAAATGTTTTCTTTTACAAAAAAAATAATACCCTAAAAAAAAAAAATAATGCCCTCTCACCACTCCACACGTGGCATAAGAGCCTTCTCTAAAAAAAATCTTAACAAAAACCAGGATGGACCATAGCATTTCATTGTTTCAATTTTTTAGGTTTTGGTTAATGGCCTAAGGTCCGTGGATATATTGCGATAGAAAATGCTCTAATACCTTATCAATAACGATGGTCTAATAATCATATGTTTCTTCTGAAGGCAGAAGTGTTGCTATGAGTCAATGACGGAGAAACGTAGGTATTCTTTTTCTTTTTACCTTTTTAAAATCAAATATATTTTTTTGGACATTTTAATTAGTATTATACTCTTTATTATTTTTATGTTTCAGCTCATCTAAAATAAATTACGCCGAAAGTATAATTAATTTTTCAGATTTAAATGAGTGTAATGCATTCACGGAGTGCATGTGAGAGATTAAAGATCTTTAGTTTGTTTTTGTTAAAAGAATTAAAATGAAAATCTTATTAATGTGAACTCTTCTTTTTCTTTTTTTCTTTGCCTCTTTCCATGTGACAAAACAGTTACTATAAATAATACAATATGTTATTTCTAAAGTTTAATCATTCTTTGTTTTCTCAAAGAATAATACAAATTAGAAAAAAAAAGTCGTAGTGTGTTTAAAACATGTGTTAAAACCCCAACGAAAAAAGACAATACACTGAAATGCAAAAGTGTGTGTGTTCTGGTGAAATTTTGGAGTTTAGGAAAAGACTGAATTTACATGGAGATATTTATCCTAGAAAATTCAAATTTCTTAATAATACATATAGGAAAAGTTCTTAAACAAGATATTTAGATGGTTTGAGTTTTACATTTGTTAATACTTACATTTGTTATTTGAGAGAGATATAGATTATCAAAAGTTAAAAATTAAAAGATTACTTTTACAAAAAAAAAAAAAAGGCTCAACTCTTTGAGAAAAAAAATAGAGTTCCTCTAAACATAACAATCTCAATTTTAGAGGTGAAAATAAATGGGTTGGATCAAATTTTATTCTAAAATAGAGTTTATAAGCAAAAATAGAGGTGTGAAATGCATTCTTACATACAGTATATCTTAAACATGCATATACAAGACTTATAGATATGTGAGGTTAGCATTTTGGGTTTATCTACAATGCTTATAGAGATGTAAAAATCCCAATAAGATAAAAAATTAACATTTACAAACTAAATTAAAGAGAAAGAAAAAAAACAGGACTCTACACGATTCATGATAGATGAATTATGAAATAGTTCCAAATTTTTTTTTGTCTATGAGGGTTTAAAAAAAAATATAATAAAATGCATATATTATAAACAAGGTGTTTTAGTTGATTAAATTTAACGTTCAATCAAAAAAGGAATTGTGAAAGAGTTGTATAAAAAAAACGTCAATAATTGTAAATTGAATATCAATGAATTTTTCGATCAAAACTATTGAAATTTTATAATTTTTAAAATATGGTAAATCTATATTAACATTTTTGAAGTACCTTTTGTGTTCTACCTTTTTATTTTGTGATATTTTCATAATTAACTCCTTGCCATTTGATTAAATAGAAAAAGTTTAAGATAAATTTTATAATTAAATCATAATAAAATTGCAAAATTAGAAATCAATATTTACTACATTTCATAAATTTCCTAAAATCTCTCCCTAATAAATCAAATATTTCTCCAACATTTTTATATGATCTTATTTGTTTTTAAATTTATATTATTACATAAACATATGTATAATAAAATATTTTTTTTGTTGCATATGTTGCAATTTGAATTTTTAGAAACGGATGTATATTACTCAAACGATACAAAAACGGATGTTCATATGATGGAACGGGTTATAATTTACATAATTATGATTATAGATATTTTTACGGGTGGTCTACTATAGTATAACTCACAAAATATTTTAATATGAAATTATACTATGTAAACGAATATTATGTCAATATCATTTCATTATTTTAAATATTATACTTATTTAATTAATTTAATCAAATTACGATTATATAAAGAATAAATTATCATATAATGTTCTACGGGTTAAATCATAGAACTAACAATCAAAATATAGTTGTACACTCTTATATACCAAAGAAAATTAATAAAAAATACATTTTAGGAATATCGTCCCGCGGTGTAACGCGGGTTAAAATCTAGTAAAGATAACAAAAGGAAAAAAAATATGGTAAATAAATTTTAAAAAATAATTTTTACATTTTAAGTGTAAGTTTTTGTGATCAATATGTTTTTATGTATTAAAAAGAATCACGTGTTTCAAAACGTGAAATCATGAAAGAAAAGAAAACTGTATACCATTTCTTTTTTTTTTTTGTTTTTTTTGTGCACTAAAAATCTGTATACCATTTCAAGCCAATAAATATACTAAATGTTTGGTGTAGATCTAGAAATTTATTTAGCTGGGTCCTGATTTTTATTTGTTTTTGAATGAGTAAGAGTAAAACTATTAAATGAGTTTACAATAAATACTCATATATAAAAGAAAAAAAATAGACAGTGAACTGACCTGGACCACCTGGTGCGTGGTGGTGACTCATCCCATACGTTAAGAATTGCTCCTGGTTAGCTCCTTCGAGGAGTAATAGCTCCTTCGAGGAGTAAGGGCATTTTTAATGGCAAGCTCTTAGGCTTAAAAAGAATATTTCAAAGAAATTTAAGCGTAAAAGCTTGTCCTTAATGATGGTATAATTAAACCCATATTATAAAATAATATAGTGTTATATTTATGGCGTTTTTTTTTAAAAAATTTAGAAACTGTTTTTTAACAGATTTACTGCAAAAAAAATAAAAATTCAAGTTATCGTTATTCTTTTAATTTTACTCTTCAATTACAAAAATAAATTAGATTATTAATACGAGCTCAGAGATAATATACAATATAGTGTTATACGTATTTGTATTAAAAAAATTATTATCACATACATTATAGTCTTAAAACTTTTATAAATGAACTTAAACTCTTTGTAGTGAAAAATTATATTTATAAAAATTTAGTAGTAAAGAAAAAACGGTTATATTACATATTATTTTTGATATCCAAATTTTTAGAAATAAAGATAAAGTCGAAAAACTATTCAAAAATACTTTTTGGGTAGAAATTTGGTATATAAAATATATATATACATCAATATAATTATTTAAAAAAATGTAGTTATATTTGAGTTTTAAATCAAAAGTATATAATATACACAACTACTTTATTTACTTGGCGTGACCAATTTTTATTTTGTATAGATTTGGTGTGACATATTTGTATTTATAAATTGTTTTATTTTGTATTTACATTGTCTCGATAAGAATTTATTAAAAAAAATTAGTTTCGTCGTCGATATGTGTCTTTGAGTTTTTGACTCTGCGTCTTCGTCTTTAGTCTTCCACTCCCATCTAAGACGTTGAACAAACAAAAAAATCTCTATTTTCTCGGGAAAACACTCGAGAAAACTCTATTTTCTCCCAACTCTTTCACACACGAATCCACAATCATCTAGCACAGACAAAGACGACGACGACGATTTCAAATTCAATCATCTCGTTTTGAATGATCTGCTCTCTAATCTTTGATTGAATCCTTTGAGTTTGAGTTCGAGTTGATTTGAGGCGGAGATCTCGAAGATGAAGCAGCAGCTTCTGTGTTTTCTCCCATGGCTGCTTCTCTCCCTTTTGATGATAACCTCCTTTAGCGAGGCTCGATTCGTGGTGGAGAAGAATAGTTTATCTGTGACTTCGCCGGAGAGTATAAAAGGAACTCATGATAGTGCGATTGGAAACTTCGGGATTCCTCAGTACGGTGGAAGTATGGCGGGGACGGTGGTTTACCCTAAAGAGAATCAGAAATCGTGTAAAGAGTTTAGCGATTTCTCGATTTCGTTTAAGTCTCAGCCTGGTGCTTTGCCTACGTTTCTCTTAGTTGATCGTGGAGGTACTTTAATTTCACTACTGGTATCGATTTTGAGTTGATTCCCTCAATTTGTGTTGTTTTTGATTGATTTAGCACAATTGATGTTAGATTTAGTAGTCTTTATGTAATTTTGGATTTAGATTGAAGCTTGGGATAAGTTTTCTCATCAGTAAGTTAAGAGATTTTAGATGCTAGGTTGTGATAGTCTGGTTCGTTGAGTGTGTAGAACTTATCTACGACTTAGTTAGCTTAATGGTGGACAGTAATGTTTTGTTGTTGTGTAGATTGTTTTTTCGCGTTGAAGGTGTGGAATGCACAGAAAGCTGGTGCTTCTGCTGTTCTTGTGGCAGATAATGTTGATGAGCCTTTGATTACTATGGATACACCTGAAGAGGATGTTTCGTCTGCAAAATACATTGAGAATATCACTATACCATCTGCTCTTGTTACTAAAGGTTTTGGTGAGAAGCTG